TCATTTTATTAAGCAAAAAACAGCACCAAACAAGATTAAACAAAGATTAAATCTATATATATGATGTGCTTACAGGAATGAACGTTCAAAATATATTATCTAAACAGTTTTTCTCAGAAATTAACCATTTTCTCAGGAATTTAAAGAAGGGTTTTTTGGGGGTTTTTTTATTGAACCACAAGTTATGAGACCTGGAAATATTGTAAAGGGGAGAATTTGGGAGACGGAAGAATTCAAATAGCCTAAACCGTTAAAACATAAATTTCTTCAGAAAATCATTAAAGCTGAACAGCCAGAATGGTCATGGGATCTTGTTGTGCTAAAACCCGGTGAACTGAACTGGATCTCTGAAGCCGTTCTTTTCTCAAGCTTGGCTGATGCAGGGATCAACTTTGTCACAATAGGTATTCAAACTGAATAATTTCTGTTAAGATAATCATTCATTTATCATTTAATACAGTGTTGGTCAAATTAATTCTGACTCTAATGGGCAAGGTTCCAGATATAAAGAGCCATCAGGAGGCCTCTATCAGCCAATAAAAAGCAGCCGTGACGAAACGTGTATCTTGTGCTGGTCCTATGTGAAGTGAATTATTTTCATTTTCTTATCAAGTTCTTTAGAAATAAGATGGGGGGAAAAAAGAATGTAAACAATATCATTGCAGATAAAATGCAATCTACAGCCTGAAGTTGTTTATCCTTTAACTTTTCCAACACGTTATGAATCTACTGAGTAAATACACACCTTCCCTTCAGAGTTTAACATATTAATCATCATTTAAAGTCATTTAATCCTTAATCATTTGAAAAAGCTATCTGAATTCCTAAATTCTGAAACATAAGACATATTTTGACATGCATATACATTTTATACTGCAAAAATATAATTAAGTAAGTTAAAACAGACATATTGCTGGTATATATTACAATATACTATTTATATTTTTCAGCTCAGAGCATCAGCTCATTAAAACCTGATCTTTAACACCACACTGTTGTAATAGCGCCTTCAATAACATTTGCGAAAATGAATTAAATGTTTTTGAATACATTGTATAAGAACTACTCCGACGGAGGTGTTAGGCATCCGAGACCCTTTTCCTTTAAGACATTTTCATAGCGACTGTAACGCAACACCAGCGTCTCCGCCCCGCCGAACCAACTTGGGCGGCATTTTTTGCAGTCGAAAGTGAAAGTAGAACAGACTTCTGGACGTCCATTTTACATCTAAGGCTTATTTTAACCACTAAAGGCTGTGAACGCGGATTTCAGGTCAGACTGACCTCCTCGTCTTGAATCACGCCCAAACGCGCCTCGTCAGAAAGAATCCATATCCGCTTTTTGTTTTTGTGTGTGTGTGTGTGGATATTACGTCACCTTGGATTCGCTACAAAAGACACAATGGGTAGGCCGAGGGCTACATACGCTGCTGTAGCTTGTAAATATTACCAAGATTTAATTCCGCCGTTTTAAAACTGCCCTCATCTCCAGGTTATGAGGGACAAATCTTGTTTGTCTTCATATAATTTCTGCTGTAGTTTATTGTATATATTTTTTCCCTCATTCCAGATAATCGGATGATTCACTTTTATTTTCTGGCGCTTCTTTCCTGCCCATGCTGCTTCGCTCCAAGTAAGTCTCTTTCATCTGTAAATCTCCTCCCCCTCCTGTCTGAGTCATTACTACGAAAAATAATCATTATTAACTTATCTGTTTATGTGAGTCACTTGCTCCCCCCTCATTGATTCTTGGCTTGCTCACCAAATCTTAAAACTCATACAGTTTACTAAACAAAAATGAATTAATTAATCCAGTTTTGGAGTACCACAATCTCCCCTCCAAATTTGTGCACTGAGGGTAAAATGGGAGAAAAAAAAACATTTAAGCTTTTTGTTTACGTGCTCAAAGTTAGCCCATAAAGCTGATTCTGAATTTAATTAATGCTCTTTTGGAGCCAGCAGAGGAAAATGTTGAAATAGCAAATGTTAATGCTGGTTGATAAGTTTGTAAGAGGCATAATTCAAAATAAAATATTATGACACTTTTCATACATTTGACATACCTGGTGCTGCAAAGTCTCATTAATAATCATCTAGGAATTTGTATAATGCAAAGCATTTGGTTTAGAAAACTTATGATAGACAGGAAACTTTTTACTTTAAAACACTTCTTTATATTCAATTTAGTTCTGCTGCAAAATAAAAGAGGGCTGATTAAGATTTACTCCACCATACACTGCCCATCTGTGGTGAGAATACAAAAGAAGCAGCATACAGAAACTTTATGTGGCATGCAATGATGGTATGAGGCTAGTACTTAAAGTGCATAGATGGAGTAGCGTTAGCCATATGTTTGTAAAAAGTTATGAACAAATTAATGTGTAGACTATATGTGTCATGCAATAATGTAATTGCAAGTTTAGTAGACCCTGCACCGCGTCTGTGTGAGGTCAGTGGAACCACTGGGGTCATCATTTATTTGTGACACAGTGAACAATATTATGTGCCGTGTTTATTTTTACTTTATTTTCTACTTTTATTATCTATGTTTCACCTTTTGACTATGTCTGGAATAAAGATATGATGCTGCAGATGATAAATGTTTGGCTGTTGAACTGGACCTCTCAAGGTCACTATCAAGCTAACTTTCTATGAGCAGTTCCACAAATCATTTTGATAAACATTATAATAAAAAGAGAAAAGCTGCATTTCTCTTTTAATCTTGGCTTTTTTCTATTCTTCCTCTTTTTTTCCCTCTGCCCCTGAAGAATAAGTTCTTTTTTGCGTTATTGTTTTGCTAACTTATCTTCTACGGTGCTTTGGAGGTTTGGACGTGCTCTGCACGTTACACTGCAACTAATATTACCAGTGAAGGCCAATAGGGGGACTCTAAGAAATTTTGTATTTTCTCTAGCCCGTATAAAGAATGATTTCTACATTCATTCATGAAATTTAAACATTATAATGAAATTGTGTGTTTTTGTTAATGCAATAATATAGAAATCATGGTCTTTTGGAAACAGCAACACAGTAAAATGTAGTAAAAACAGCAAAAATATCAATTCATAACCAGATTATAAATGTTAGTGGTTTGCATAAAATATTTTTATGTTTTTTTTTTTATGTTTGCCATGCAATGAACCGCAACTATCATTGTTTATTATTTGGGAAACTGATTTAATTATAGAGCATGTGGTCTCCTGGAAAATTTAAGACAGAGTTGAAGTCATAGGAACATTCTACTTTGAAACACTTAACATACTTAATCTAATACCACAACAAAATGAAAAGATGACTCTGATTTTGATTTTCTTATCAGTTTCAGAGACTGTCACGGTTTCAGTAAAGTCTCCTGTCTCAGTCCAGCGAGGTCATACAGCCATCTTACCCTGCTGGCTCACTTCCTCTCAGAGTGCAGAAGATATGGAGGTGCGCTGGTATCAAGGGAGTGATGAGTATGATACTCCAGTCCTGCTTTATAAGGAAAAAGCTTTCGACTATTCATCCCAGAAAGCTTCGTTCGCTGGCCGAGTCTCATTCGGCTTAAAGGAAGAAACATCAGGTGGATTAAAGGCAGGTGATGTCAGCCTGAAGCTGGAAAACGTCACAATTGAAGATATTGGAAGCTACACTTGCTATGTTAGTAGCTCTGTTGCTTATAGCAGTGCATCTATTAGTCTGACTGTGACAGGTGAGAACCATGAAAACAGAACGAGAACAAAACCAAACAGAATGATGTCCACATCAAATGATCATCTTCTTTTTATTCCAGAAACTGGACGCTCTCCTCTCCTGTCAGCAGTGATGAAAGACGATAACAAAGTTAATCTGAGCTGCCAATCTGACGGCTGGCATCCAAAGCCTGAGCTGAGCTGGTCAGACACCAAAACAGCTCTCACACCTGCTAATGTGATGTTCAGCAAAAACTCTGCTGGTTTTTATTCAGTCCATAGTTGGGTTCTGGTCTCCAGTCCCTTTGAGGTCTCCTGCTCTGTTGGGCTCTTCAATGAAGAACCAAAGGAGGCCAGAATGCGTCTGGAAAATCCTCCACCATTACAACAAGGTACGTGGTTTCACCTTCTAGAGCTGCACAATATGTCACAAAGATATTGTCATGTATGTCAAATATATTGACACACAACTTTGCCAAAAATGCTAAAGGTCACATAGAGTACGAAGAACAGATTAGAAAGAGTCGAAAGAAAAAACAGGCATATATTGCACCTGATAGGTTATCGAAATATTGGCCAATATTTCTGATGTTGTTTCTAATATTGTTCAGCCCTATCACCATGTATTCCTTTTTAGTTTTCTATGAGAAAGAAGTCTACTAGAACATGTTTGTTATTTATTATTCAGAGTCGGGATGCATAGCTGAACGGGTGGCCATTGGGATACTTCTGGCTCTGTTAGCAGCATTCGGAGCTCTGTACTTCCTGTACTACAAGAAGAAAGGTAAATGTTTGATTTACATCAGAGAGCATGCATTGATGACAATATTTAAAGATGCTGAGATTTTAATGAGCACTGATTTCATACTTTGTGATATGGTTTCATTTCAGACAACAAGGACAAATCAGGAAATGACACAACTGATGGTAAGAAACACTTCAGACACCTTAAACATATCTGTTTAGAACATTTTTACAACCTTTTTCTAAATGTCATCTTCCTTGTCTTAAAGGAACAATCATGTAGTTTTATATTTTTTTGTGCAGTTTTCAGACTTATTTAGTTATTTTGTGAATTGTATGTGGAGGAAAAACCTTGTGAAGTTTATTATCACAGATGTACAAACATGAAAGATCCCAACATAAGAGACAGTAGAGACACATGTAGTCCCTTATGAAAGTACTTGTGCCCCTCACTCACATTTTGTCACATCTCTAATAAAACTTCAGTGTGTTTTGGGGAAGATTTTACATTATAAAACAATGCTGTGTAGTTCATCACTGGAAAGGTTAAGAAAAAATAATACATGTTTTTCAATATCTGAAAAGATTATCAAACTTATGGAACTCCCTTTACTCTCTCATTCCCAAATAAAAACTGGACCAAACAAATACATTTAGTTTTTTTATATAATGTAATGATGAAGCTTGTAATTCAACACTCAAATTCTTTTTAATGACTAAAACTAAAGAAATAGTAAATACAATTTAATTTTAGCAAATGAAAACTAGAGCTAAGCTGTCAAAATTGGACCTCAATGTCCACCACAAACATCAGCATCATCACACAAACAACAGATATGAGAATAACTGACTGGTTGGAATCACTTCCTAAAGTTTTACTTTTGTCTTTCAGGGGCCAATCTCACAAACATTCCTGAAGGTAAAACAGAAGACATAATTCATATTTACTACTTTTTCTATTTCAGTCAATTCAACATTTAAGGATTCTTATTGTTGTAGATTTGCTCTAGATGTTTGAAGACATGAGAGGAGTGCAATAGAAACATAAAGTTATTACTTATCTTTACAGTGATGTGTTCAGATTTTCAGTCAAATAATATTACAGCTTGTTGATGAACCTCAATCTCATAGAGATAATGTTAAAACTCTTGTATGCATTGCATAACACAACTAAAATATGTATTTCTGTGTCTTCCTTCAGAGAATGAACCACTTCTGTTAAAAGGTAGAACAGATTATTGGAAGCTGCCTGTGTTAATATAATCAAAACCTTTATCATACAAAATCACATTTCTAAGATATTTTCTTTTCTCACTTTTCTGTCCAGCAACATGGCAGCCAGCAGCTCTACTGGAAGCATCCAAGCATTATGGTAATTTTACATTCATTTAATATTATTTTTATTTAGCATTTTACTTCATTATTATATTGATTATAATCTAATTTTCAATTTTTAACAGAGCATGTTCAACTGGTGGACACAGGCAATCCACTAATAAAAATGAAGGATTCTATACTGAGAGATAATGCTGATGCAGAGTTTCCAGATGGAGACAGAGTCACTTGTCTCACTGCAGTCAGAGGATCACCTGGTTTCTCTTCTGGACGACACTACTGGGAGGTTTGCTTAGAAATTGCAAGAAATAAAAGTGCAGACCTCCTCAAGAAGTCCTGGTGGATCGGAGTTACAGATAAACATGAAATCCCTCATGATGAACGTTTGTCTCCAACCACAAAAAATGGTTTCTGGTTCTTGTCTTCTTGCCCCAACGAGGAGGATACTGTTCAGTTTAGCACTGAACCAGAGACATTCATTTATGTTCAGTCAAAACCAAAAACAGTCGGTGTGTATTTGGACTTTGACAACAGAAAACTCTCCTTCTATAATGTGGAAGAGAAATGTCTGATTGGATCTCTGGCAGCTGAATTCACAGGTGAACTGTTCCCACTTTTTAACCCTGGAAAAGGTGACCCCGTAACTATGGAGATATTACAGAGACCTGTGCAGGATCAGTCAAATAACACTGAACCTGCGGAGAAACTACAGAAGGAGGAGCAGAATCAATCAGGTCTGACTGAGAATCCAGTGAAAAAAAGTTAAAAGTGGCACAAATGAAGAAGAAGAGGGGGAAAACGCTGCACAGTGTAATGTTATCCTGCATACAGTAAAGACTAAAGTAAAAGCTAATAATCCGGATAAAATTTGGATTTGGATCAAAATGTACCTTTTGCTCTCAAAGTTTGAGAAAGTACCAAAATGTGTTATAAGTTTAGGTTTTCTAAAATTTAAGATCAACATCAATGGTAACAATTTCTCTTGAGAAACAGTAAATGTCTAAACAAAATGTAAGTTGTGTGTATGTCTAAACTCACTGATACTGGAGCTTCCTTCAGTGGGTGAGTCACACAACGAGAGTATGTTAATTAAATATCTGACATCATTTCACATGTAATTTCTGCTGTATGTGCAGTTAAAGGCAACTCGGATAAATCCAACAAGAGAAAACAATCTTGATGTTTCTACAAATATCAGTTATGAATTCTCAATTAGCGCCGCTGTCAGCTTCTGACCCTAAATTTGCACTTCTTCAAAGTCTGGTTTCATAACCGAGACAGTCAGTCAGTGGACTAATCACTAAAATCACATGTTGCTTTCTCAGAATAGTAACACTGCTCCAACTCGATCAGTAAAATAAATGTACATTCCTGTGTTCCTACATGTGTAAATTCATAATGTCTACATTTGTGGTACCTCTTAGTGAATATTTACTCATAGTTAACTTGATCTTCTACTGTGTTTCAAGTCATTTTTTCTAATTTCATATTAACTGACTTTGATACCTGTTATAAAACAAGCTAATCGATTTTCCTTTTGTCAAGAGGTATTAATACAACCTTTTATACGAGTTGTCATAAATATTTTTGCTATTATTATTTTTGTTATATGTTGAAGCTGTACAAAGCTGTTCATTCTCACTACCATCTATTAAATGTATGTTCTTTGGAAGAGCTATCAAAGTGATGCTTTGACTTTAACTTATAAACTTATATATTTTATGTGATGTTCATTGGATATATGCGTATGTATTTCTGGGGCAACTCAGAAGCTAATCTAGAAGATTTTATCACTGCGTTAGAACTTGTTGGGCCCTCGAAGCATCGGGAGAACATATATACACTTTAATAGCTGAAACATTTTAGCCACAAGAATGGGAAAGCATGAATTATTTATTTTATGGCAGCTCAGTAACATTAGGAGCTTCTTTGAGTCCATGGTGCATCAAAAAGTAGCGACACTTCAACAAGCTATTTTTTATAGTCATATAATATAAGTTGGAAATTTATTCAATCAGCTTGCATGAAACTTTTGAAATCTGCTAAATTATTTTATAAAGAAAACTATAATGCATCTGTTTTTTTTTTGTTTGTTTTACATAAGTTCTACCTTACAATCAAGAAAAGTTATCAAAATTTCAATTGTTTTCAGGAACTGCTTTTAACGTGGATAAAACAGATTGAAATGTAGATTCTACAACATGATTTGAAATGACATTTGGAATAAGAATGTAAAAATGAGAATTAATTGAAATAGACCAAATGTTGACCACTATTTGCCTTCGGACATGGTTTCTTTGTTCAAATTATTCCTGAAGTCTAATCAAAAATATATATATTTTTAAAGGATCCAACCTTCTTATTACAAAATACGATTAATTGAATTAGATTTTGATAACTTTATTTCTGGATCCTTGTTCTGAGTTCAGTTGAAGAGAAGATCAGTAGAAAAAACAGAAACTAATATTTTAAAAATGTTAAAATGTTTGATTTGTATTACTTGATAGTTGGTATCAATTTATAGGGTTTGAGCTTTTTACTCCAAATGCTGACTGTGAAAATGATTTATTACATGGAGTAAAGGTCAAACTAGGCATCTATCTGCTAAAATGGTGGCTAAATATTTCATCTCAAGTGGATGAAATGTTTCATATTTTCAATGCAGAATTTTATGAAATTATGAAGATTTTTTTTTTTTTTAAAGAAGCAGTCTTTTTTTTTTTTTTAAAGTCGGGTTCTTCATCTTTAAGAGTCCCCATTATGTAAAAAGTAATGAAGTATTCATAATAAAAAAAAGGAAATGTTGTATGAGGATGGCTATTTCTTTACTGTAAAAATGCTTCTGGGCAACAAAAATTATACTCTTGGAAAACCTTTTTCTTTTTACACAATAACGAGGCTTTGGTTTGTTGAATGTACATTTTTATATTGACAGTATGTCTCGTTTCTTCATATTTCTATCATTCAGTCCAATAAACAAGACATAGTGAAAGTCTTTAAAACGCCCGTCTTTCTTTAGAGCCTCTTGAAACTAACACTTGGTTTCAAGACACTCTGGAACAAAGGGCTAAAAAAGATACTTCAATAGTTTTATAACACTTTTCTACTATTTGAGTCATTTTAATTGGGAGTATATCTGTTCTTGTCTGAGTACAGTTTCTGATTACTCTACCAGCCTGTAGTAACTTCACTAATGAAGGAGAAACATATTTTAACTAAAAATGCATCAAACACAGAAACACACCTGCTGTTCATAGTGAAGTCAGATTTCTGGTTTGCACTCAGGCTTCCTGTTTCTGATGTTACTCAGTCTGCAGAGCCTGTTGACCCACTTAGAGGGCAAGTTATGCAGTAAAACACTTATCACTGGCAGTAGTTTGCACAGTATTGTATTGTACACATTAACTTCTGAGTCTTGGTTTCAAGAGAAATATGGATTCAGGCAGTTTTTCTACCCAATTTCATTATTTTGTAGTGATATTGTTAATTACTCTCACTCTCCCTCTTTTTTTTTTTTTTGCTTTATTCTTTAATGTACCAAAATTTACACACAAATTTGTAAATTAAGTTCTGTGTTCTTGAGTCTCCCTACTTAAGTAATTTTTTTGATTATTGCTTTTTTTTATTATTCTACACTAAAATCATTTAGTGCTGCTCTTACTTGAGTGAACATTTTTGCCTGCCGTTGCCAACTCTGACTACAACAGCTGTTGTATTTTCATGTCTGAATTTAGAGATGT